AAGATGCCCCCAGTCCCAGAAGATCTATGGCAGAGCCATAGAGAGCTCATCCAATCTGGTCATTTCACTCCAGATGTGCAAATGTATACCAAGGAAGGGGAAGGCACTTACCAAAACAAGGCCACGGAATGATTAAGTGTCCAAGTCAGGAATGAAACCAAGCCTTTTGATTTCCAGTCCTTTGCCATCTGCTACAGTTCACGTATTAATTAATCTTCTCAGCCTCCTCCCAACACCTGAGCAGGGGGGTTCTGTAATTGACTCCCACTGCCCTTGGAAAGTACTTTCTGACTCGCTAACTCCTTCATTCTTTGAGGAGCTGTGACTTGATGCCACTTCCCGCTACCACATTCCTCCGTACCTCCAGCTTTTGGGTCTCTGCCGAGGGAGGCAAGCCCGCTTTTCTCATTGACCCCACTCCTCCTTGGCTAAACCTCCCCAGTCCCTCTGTGGGTCTTGCTGGGTACCTAAGCTGCCCAGCTGGCAGAGCACTCACCTGGCTGCACTGCAGGTACCATCGTCAGAAGGCCAGAGGCCAAGGTCAGCCAGAGGAGAGCAGAGCCCACCATCCTGGGCATATGTGGAGCCATGCGCCTCCCTCAGCAGTGTGCGGTTTCTCTGCTCAGCTACTTGAAGGGAAAAAGCAGTTCGGATCAGGATGATGACCCCCAGGTGTGAGGGTGAGCGTGGGACATACCGCGGTGTGGTGTTTACTGCCCGGCATGAGCTATGCTAAGCCTCTTCGATATCATTTTGAAGGCTCTCAGAAAAGAGCCCTGGTGGCCTGGTGGTTAGACATTGGGCTGCAAACTGAGAGGTCAGCAGTTAGGAACCACCAGCCCCTCTGAAGGAGAAAGATCGGGCTTTCTACTCCCGTACAGAGTTCCAATCTCAGCCACTCGTAGGGACAGCTCTACCCTGTCCTATACAGTCACCATGAGTCGGAATCAACTCCTCGGCAGTGAATTGTATTTTGTTTTGTCTCCCAACCCCCACTGGGAGCATATTTATGATGTTCCTACCTACCGAGAAAGTGCTACTCTTTTCTCCACGTTACAAATGAAGCTGAGACGAGGGGAACCTTCTGCCAATAAGTATTTACTGAGCCACGCCTGAGTGCAGGTCTTGTGCCAGAAGTCAAACAGCTTCCTTGAGTCCACAGACCTATGTTCTCTGAAACAACACCTTTGAAATTTTCCACGGGTGACTGTGTTGCCTCAAAGCAGGCACGACATAAAGAAACGGAGCGGCTGGCAGGGGTAGGAGACTGGCGAAGAGGTGATGTTGCCGGCGTGAAAACCAAAGGCCACCTTGCAGCTAGCCAGTACTGCAGAATCTCCGCCAGTCCCGACTTGGGTTTGAGGCCCACGCTCTCCAGATATTAGACAGAGGAGGAGGGTGATGGTGCCTGTGGATATCCACAGACAAAACCAGTGGTGGTCCTTTCTTGGTTCTACGCATCCGGCACAGAATAAATTGCAAATAAAAGTTCCCATAATTCTAAAGCCTCTGGAGGAGACCTCTACGTGGAAGATGTCCATAAGGATGAGATAGGTCAGCCCAAGGCCCGTGTCTCTTGCTCTGATCACCTCTTGCCTGGCACACAACTAGTGCTCAAGAAAGTGGAAGGATGGGGGAATAAATAAAGGTGATTTGCAAACACAAAGAGCAATGACATTTGCCCACTCTTAAATCATAGTTCTTCTGAGAGCCTGTTTCCCAGCATGGGCTAATCCCTGGGTGACTTCTGGGCACCTCTAAAAGAGATCAGTTGACGAGAAAGAACTCTTTCTAGAAGGAAGGCAGATCAAGAATATGTGATCAGAGAGCAGGATCAGGAGAGCACCCAGGACTGCTTCCTGCTGGAGGGGCAATTCCAAGTAGATGCTAGATGCCTATCTTCCTTTAAAAGATATGGTGCCGATAGGTCTGGCCCAGCCAGCAGGCACCTGAAATCATGTAGTAAACTGAACATAGAGTGATATCTGGGGCACCTGACAATGGCCGTGAGGCCATAAACAATTAAGCCCAGCCAGTCCGGCGGGTCAAGGGGGAGCACCTGAGGAGAAAGCCTGCTGGGACTTGCAGTAGGACTTACCTTGGGGTAAGATCTCAGAGTTTAGGAGGAAAGAGTTCCTCCTCTGGCCTGGTGTGGGAAAGCAAACTGCTGTGGGCTGTCCTTTTATTGCCATTTCCCACCCATGTGGCTCCCCATGATTGGTGCTGAAGCATGACGAATTAGTTACTCTAGGAGGCATACCCCGGATGTGCTGGGTATGGTGAGATAAGCAACTTCGTGTCAATTATGGTGAGAGAAGGCCCCTCTGTCACCGGCCCCCACCCCCTGCCCCAATATAAACTCTTTCAGCAGTTTTGCCGTCCTTCCAAACTTGCCCAGGAAAGCTGTCAGCACACACTGAGTGCCATCCGCACTGGGCACTGCTGGCTAGTTTGCACCCATCACTTCTAACACTTAATCCTCACAAGAAACCAAGGATACTGGTACCATATTTACTACCCAAAACAAAACACTCATCCACAGAAGCTGAGCCTCCAAAGGAAGGTGGGGAGAAATAAAAAAGGCCCGTGTTTGCACCATGGGTTTCCAATGATACCTTGTGTTCATGCCTAATCACCTTCGGCCTCTAGCTGGAGACCGTGTGGTTTGGGATCAGTTTGAGGCAGGGAATAAAACTGTAAAAGGCACAGGGTGTCTTCCATGTTTGACCCATAGAACCATAAACGGAAAACCTGAAAACTAGAGCCACTAGGGTCAGACATAGAAGGGCAGGGCTAATGAGCATTCCCAAGAAACAAAAGGTCAGGATATAAAACCCTTGGGAATGATGCTCCAGGATGGGAACGATTTTTCCAGGGGAAAAAATGTGTTTGTTAATGACTATAATCATGTATAACCAATCACAGGGATACACAACCAAACCTGCATGGCTAAACCAACTGACTCCACTCACTCAGGTGGCAATGACTTAGTCAGTGACTGTGACCTTCCCAGCCGTAATCCCGTATGTGAGATCTTATCAATCTGGACCTCGTGTGTCTGTGGCAATCATCCCACTTTGGAGGATATGCTCAACTAATGAACAGGAAAAGGATGGCGATGAAGATCTGACCGTAGTAAACCAAAACCATACTCATTGCCATTGAGTCGTGGTGGCCCCATAGGACAGGATAGTACTGCCCCTAGGTTTCCAAGGTTGTAACTCTTCACAGGAGTAGAAAGTCTTGTCTTTCTCCCATGGAGGTGGATGGTGGTTTCAAACGGCTGACCTGTTTGTTCACGTGAATGGGGCCACACTCTGTTTCCTTGATGACATTTTAAAGATCCCTCCTTAAAACCAGGCCTAAACCAGGCCACTGTATAATAATATCATATCAACATTATCACCTCCCCTAGAAAGGCAGACTTCCATTTCCTGGCTGAGCTTGGGTAGGAGCAAGAGCCCCTGCTCAGACTTTGGGTATCTTTGGCTTCTAAGTCTAGATCCTGTATCAGGCTCGCCCCTGCCTGACCTTGGATTTCGGTCTGAACAAGACCTACCACCAGGAGAGACATTTCCTCGACCTTTCATGAGTTTCTGTGGGACACTGCAGAACTCAGGAACTTGAGGGAATCTATTCAAGGGAGGAATACAGGCAAAATGGAGCTGAATTACATTTTGGAAGAGTTTGACATTGGGACATCATTAATTTCCAGTTCTTTGGGACTAGTATCCTATGAATTTTTCTAAAAGAAAATACTACCATAATATCTAGCCCATTCCCAGCTGAGGTCACCTTCACATTTCAAAGGGTTTCAAGTTAAAGCTGATCTATGTACAAGCAATCATTAACCCCATACCATTCTTTTGTTCTCAGTGTAAATAGACCCTTCTCTTCACGTAAGGATGGACTGCTTTGTTTCACTTAACATTGTCCAGCTCCTATTATTTCTCAAGAAAACTGATTTTCTTGCACTCTAATAGAGTACACGGTTTCCTTTGGAGTGAATCTACCCAAATGTTAAATACCTAACGTTGAGAGTCTTGACGACGGTCAATTTCATGATAATAAATGAAGAATTGATGTGTTAGTCAGGGTTGACTAGAGAAAAAAATTCAGACACTCATATGTGTATAAGAAAGAGCTTTATATGCAAGAGCAATTGAATATTGAGAAAATACCCCAGCCCAGTCCAGATCAAGTCCATAAGTCTAATATTAGCCTATATGTTTGATACCAATCTATACATTCCTCTTCAGACTCACAAAACACATGCAATGACACCAAATGCAGGAAAATCACAGGCCGGTGGGTGGAAAGTCTTGTAGATCCAATGAGAGTGGAAGCATCTCAGCACAGTCAGGGGTCTCCACGTGGCTCCTTCAGCTTGAGGGCTCTAGTGTAACTCCATCTGTTTTCTCAACAGGAATGCCTCACAGGGAGTGTACATGTGTCCTGCCTCCAACGAGCTATTTATCTCCTTAGTACCTCCAAATGAGGTCATCAAGCATCGACCTGATTGACAGGCTAAACTCCACCCCTTCACTCTTAAGCCTCAAAGTGACAACAGATCATGTAACCACCACCGATGACAAGGCCCCCAAGACAAAATAAGCCTGGCAATAGCGTCTCTTTGCTAGGTGGGCTATCCTAGAGCTCAGAAAGTGTGGAACTGAGACTCAAAACAAACGCACTGCTACCCAGTCAATGCTGAGAATAGCAGCCAGGAGCAGAAAGCCCAGTCTTTCTCCCTCAAAGCTGCTGGTGGTGTTGAACCACGGACCACGTAGGTTGTAGCCCAGCACGTCACCACTACACTGTCAGGGCTCCTTGTGGAACTGAGAGGAGGGTGTAAAAGATTAGACTTTGAAATCCAGGTTTAGACCTCAATTTTATGGCATGGTAGATCTCCTGGGATTGGGAAACGAGGCAGAGTTTTGACAAAATGAATGTCTACTGCCTTTTCTGTGCTGCTCTGGGCCCCTTTAAGGAGCCACAGATGGTGGGCACTGGGGACACCTCCTGGCCTAACCTCAACTTTGGTGGGTGGAGTAAGGTGCCGTGAGCTACCTTCCCCACTGTGATCCAGAAGAATCTCTGATTCCTCAAAGACAACCCTTGGAATTCCCCAGCGACCTAGGGACCTTTGTTTTCTCAAAGTGCCAGGCAGCACGTAAACCTGTGAAAATGAGTGGGAACCCCAAAGGCCACCGCTGTATACTAACCTCAGGAAATAAGGGGAGCATGCTACAATCCAGCATACACATGCAATCATTCAATTAACCCTGACTGTGTGCTTGGGCTCAGAGACTCTCTCTAGACAGGTGCTCAGAGAAAAACCAAACTGCATAGAGCAGCGGTTCTCAACCTGTGGTCGTGAGCCCTTTGGGGGTCAAATGACCTTTTCACAGGGGTCACCTAAGACCATCAGAAAACATATTTCCAATGGTCTTCGGAACTGAGACACCACTCCTCTATCCATCTCCACGCAGGTCCACCCACATGCAGATACGCCCATGTACGAGTACCCGGCGTGAAGACTGTTACCCATGCTTCAAGACAAAATCTCATTATTTGTTATTAGAAATAAATATTTCACAATATAGAATTACATATTGTTTCTGTGATTCATCACTATGCTTTACTGATGTTCAATTGTAACAATGAAAATGCATCCTATCAGATATTTACAATATGATTCAGAACAGTAGCAACATTAGAGTGATGAATTATGAACTAAAATAATTTTATAGTTGGGGATCACCACAACATGAGGAACTGTATTAAAGGATCGCGGCATGAGGAAGGTTGAGAACCGCTGGCCTAGAGGCACAATCTGAGAGACGTCATTGGATTGGCATAGGTGTGGGGAGAGGGAAGGGTATACAGGATGGTGTATTTCTTCCAGTGGCACCTGGCTGGACAGGAGAGTTCCCACTGAGGGGGTCCTGTTCTTGGGGAATCTTTTTCTGATTTGAATTTGGTAGGCTACCCAAACCAGTCACATCATAATGCTAACCTAAGGTGACCAGACGTCCCACTTTTGGCAGGACAGTCCCAATTTTTGGCTTTTAAAAGTCCTGAGTTTTTGAAAGAATGCACGACAAGC